TTTAAATTATTTAATTAGTTTTTAATGAATATAATATTTTTCTTAGTCTAATTCATCTTAATTTGTTGCTAAAAGTTACGATACATCCCAATTTTTTTTCTTTTCATTTTGGGTGAAAAAAAAGAATGATTATAATTTCACATATGTATATTTATATTCAATAACTAATCAATTTTGAGTTCATTCTAAATATTCCAGAAAGAAAGAATTGTTAGCCCAGATCCGGAAAATCCATAACGTCAAGTAATCTCAATTTGATGCATAAAGAATGATAGGAGGGGAGATTAGATTTCAGAAGCAGAGGGATTGAGGAGAAGAACCCTAATTTTAGGGGGATGAGGAGGTGAATTGGGAAAGAAAGAGAAACTGGGAGAGAAGCTAGAGTTCAGATTAATTCCATTTTCTTTCATAGTTCGATTACATCCTGTCTTGGCATACTTATGCTAGCCAAAATCATTCATAAAACTAATTAACAAAATAGTTCTCACCGAAATAGTAAATGCTAACTAGATCCTAATATATTAAGTCATATTCGTAACACTTATGCCTGCAACATTTGCCACTCTATGACAGCAACCTTGTCCTCAAGGTTGAAAGTTGAGAAGTTGCAAATGACTTCTTGCATAGGCTCTAGTTGCCTCCTTTGAAATTGGTCACAAATTTATCCCATGCTTGGGAAGTCTCGTGGATGCAAATGTAGCAAGTTGTAAATTGCAAGTCTGGAACTTTAACAGCTACATGGGCTTTCTGGCAACGACTGGTTGTGTCACATTGAAAATGGCTCCAAAAATGGTGAAAATCTAGCTGCCAAAATCCTGAAATGGAATAGTTTGCTGCGCATCCAATAAAAGGCTTGGCAAGACTGCCACCATATACAGCAGCAAATGGAGAAGTAACAGCCTTAAGAGCATTAAGAGCCATTGTTGTCCAAAGAAATTTCGCCTTCAAAGTGTCATAAGCTTCATATTTTAAAGCAAACTGGAAATTTCAGAGCCAATAGGTATAAGCCTGGAAAAATCCACCCACAAAAATTGTGGATTGAGCTCTGAATCCAGCCGACTGTCGAAAAGAGTTGCTATTGGTCCCTCCTTTAAAGCAAGTTACCTCTGAGGCCCAAGATCTCAAGGCAGCCACAAAATCAGCTCGTATGCAATCAACCAGATGTCAAAAGAATAACAAATCCAACCATTAATCTGAAAATCAGGAAGCTTAGAATGATGAAATGCGGTGTAACTAAGGGAATCACCGGTATTAAGCTCATAAAAAATGCTGCAGGACGATTTGGATGGTTTGGTTGTCCACTCTACCCAACAATCAAATACATCAGCCACTTCTAACTCTTCATCATGCCCTGTACTCAAAACCAGTTCGGAGAAATTGATATGCAAAATCAGGGGAAAGATCAAAGTTTTTCCATCATAGATGAAATATCTCAAGAATGATATTTGTTTGTCCCCATTCGGCATTTTCTTTCGGTGCTGCCTCAGACTTATCCCAACGAGAAGCCACAAAACAAGGAAGTTAACTTTCTTCAAACCAAAACTTAACAAGCTCTAAACACTTGATCACCCCAACAAGTATTACATTGAACAAGTGCTGGTATCAAAACTTTTAAATATGGAAATTGGAAACTCAGAAATAGAAGATTGACAATTCCTTCAAGAATAGTGCCACCTTTGAAACTAGAGATTCTATACGGCCATGGCTTATGCAATTCCTTAGTTTCACAATCCTGAACAATACCTCGCAGCTCCCATCCATTTAAAGTTGTTGAGTCATTCTTGTACATAAAATTCTTACTAGAAACAATAGTACCTCCCTTAAATGCTGTAAATGGTAATCCAAAACCATCGATTATCACTCGTTTAGCACCACATAAATCCCGTATAAACCCTTTTCGAGGACAATAACTTCCAGCAATAACATCATAACTAATCAAAAATAGATTGTGTAGCTATAAACCCTTAAATGCAGACATTAAACTCGGTGAAATCAATTTTCAGCTCACATTTCTCTACAAAAATAGATTGTGTAGCTATGACTTGTAGTTGCTTAAAATCATCATTAGCAGCTAAACCTGTACAGTTCATATTCTCAAGAGACGTATTTTTAAGGATCAAATTAGTTGCACCCTTGAAACCAGAGAGGAGCAAGCCAAAGTCTCCCATTCCTAGTTGATAATTACCAAAAAATACGCCAACACAATCATCAATTGTAAACCAAGAACGTAACTTGTTATTCAAAGTCCTATCACAACTGGGCTCAACTCAATATGAAGTTTGATTCCCAACAAAAATATTTCCTTCAACATTGGAAATTAAAGCCTCCTCTGTTTTGGCCAAGGGACAAGAATTACCTCTTGGGCCAAAGTGGCATTTGTCGATTCTGGACACGGACAAGAGATCTGACGATTCCACTGCCGATTGTTGATTGTACTCCAGAATTCGTGGCTCCAACATTGAGCCTCTAGACCCAAAAATCCCAGGCGGTGTTGTCGATTCTGGACACGTAATACTTATGCCTGCAACACAATTTTAGATCAAAACTGAAAAAGAAAAATCAATCGCCGGGCAAAAATATTGAAATTATGAAAACAACTAGACAGAGTAGTAGTTGGAGTTGGAGACACTTACTAATCCCCAAATCTCTCTTTCTAAAATTGAGAAAAATAGAGAAAAATAGTGTCAATTACTGTAAACGTAGTGAAATTCCCCTTAACGCCATCTATAGTTGTTGTCATCGATTGGATCAATTGTCCAAATCGATATTATTGGCTTCTTGTGAATAGGCACCCAGATCAAATCGAAGCCGCGACAGCAAGACTGATATAAATTTGCAGAGTCCGAGTTGTGGGAACCGGCGACGGAATTCTTTATATTGATCAGGTTTTTGGGGGGACTCACGGGATCTTGGGAACAATCGAAGCCTAAAGCATTTTTAACCAGAAGGAAATGCAGTACCAGTTTTGAGTCTTTCTCCGACGAAGAGTTCTCTAAGAGGTTTCAAGAATTGGCCTTCAAATTTCAAATATCGGAGGGCGATGATGAAAATTTGAGTGATAATTTGGCTCGGAAAGCATTGGCGGAGATAATAGTGAAGCCATTATTTTAGAAGATCAATTGTCTTTTGATCCCTTAAAATTACCGGATTGGGTGGAGAGAGATGATATACTCCCTTAAGATCTAATTCTTGAAATTAAAAGGCCAGTGATTGATGGAAATTGATTTAGGAGCTGTTCTTGATTTTGTGTTGATTTTTTCCGGAGCAATCGGCCAAGATTTATGGAAAGAAAATTAGTTGATTATCTTTGTTTTGAATTTGAAATGAGACTTTTTATTTGGGCACTGAATAAGCAAATCAAATCAAATCCATTCATGATAGTATAGGAACGACGGGGGCTTATTTTTTATTTTTTTGGGATTGTTGTTCCTGAATTTTTAGGAAGCCACGTGACAGAAATTATTTTGGACTGAAAATGGTCTTTGGCGGAAAAATATTAAGGGCTTATTTGGCCAACATTTTGTTTTTGTTTTAATTTTTTATTTAATTTTGAGATGTGATTTAAAATGTATTTTGAAATAAAATTTAAAAAATTCTTTGGGTAATAATTTAAATAAAATAATAATATTTTTACACCATCATCGGACCACTTCCACCATCGGCGCTGCTGCCGACTGCCCATCGTTGGCCGCCGGCGGTCAGGTAGCGGCAGTGAGCGGCCGGGCGGCGGACGGTGGTGGCATAGGTGGTGCAAGAAAATTGTATAAAAATAATGTTTGAAATAAATTATAAAAAGTTGTTTGGATAGTATTAGGTTTTGTGTTTAAGATGTGTTTTAAGAGGTAAAATGAGACTTGGCCGAAAAAACCCTAAACATGGGGCTGACACATGTTGTTCTTCTTGTATGTTGCTTTAATTAAGTACTATAGATAGATTACAAGATGTTAAACCCGCGCGATGCGCGGGATTTATTTATATACTTTATAAAAAATTTACAAAAAAAAATATAAAAAGTGTAAAATGAATTTTACTATTTTTATTTATAATCCATCATTAATGTAGGTGTTTTGGAGTATATTTTACTACTAAAAAGTGGAAATAAATAGAGATAAATTGGGATTGATGATAATTGATTATCCAAAATTTCAGTGATAAAGATAAAGTTTATAATAATTTTTGAGATATTATTAAGGAAAGATTATATTTATTTGGGTAAATATGATATTACACAAATAAATGCGTGGGTTTGAAATTCAAAAGATAACATTTAATTATAGTTAAATCCCATCCTTTTAGTAATAATTGAAGGCAAGTTTTGTACTTTTTTTTTGGCAAAAAATACAAGGTCATGTTTTTGGGAGAAGATTTTAAAGATAACATTAATTTTGAATGATTGGTTTTTTTTTTTTGAATTGTTGGGAGGGAGATTTTTTTTAAAGAGATTAATTAAATGAGTCTCGTAGCAACTTTGGAGATTTTCTTTTGGGGAGGGAATAATTCTGGTGCATTAATGTTCATTAATCCTGTCCACTATATTTAATTAATTTTTATTTTCCTATTTTAAACTATAGTTTTAAATGCCATTCGATAAAACTTTATTTACATAAAATTTGAAGGACTATTAGCATAATTGTTATAAATATTTTTTGACTCAACCATTACAAAAATGACACATATGATTTTATCCTATGTGACATAGTGGCACCTTTAGAATTCTTTTTTGTTTTCTCTCTCTGTTTCTCTTTTAATTTAATACTATAGATAGATAGATAGATGGTGTATATTTGATTGAGCGTAAAATGATTAGGGTGATGTTTGAAAAATGAAATCTTTAAGGACTATAAATACAGTCCATCCTACAATGAAAGGACTTTATGAAAAATGAGAAACGGAAGTATTTTCCATTGAATAATAGGTTCGACACTGCGCAAACCGAGAGGCTAATTCGCGAAGAAAGTGTTCTGTGATTTAACGGGTTTCAACGCAGAGGGCTAAATAAAATGGGGAAGAATGATAAACAAGATGAGCTTTGGGACGATTCTGCTCTAATTAACGCCTTCAATGATGCCATTTCCAAGTATATGGTCATATTTCTCTCCTTCTCCTCCTTTAAATCGAAAAACCCTTAGTGGGGTTTTTATTGTTTTTTCATTCGAGTTTGTTTATTGTTTTCTATCGGATTGTATGGGGAAAAAATGGATTCGTTCTTTATAGGCATGATAGGAAAGGGGTAACAGAAAAAAGCATGAATTCTGTTAAAAATAGTAGTATTTGCCTGCTACTCGATACTGCAGGTAAGTCTGTTGCAAAGTTGTTTGAGGCTGGAAATTTGTGGACGAATTGGAATGTGAGCATCAGATTTTTATTGCTATATTTAAAGGTCTAAATAAATCATTATGCAGAATATACTTCACTTAGCCAGTGCTACTTTCTTGCTGTTCCAGTATCATGTATGGATACTCTAGGTATCTACTGCATTCTTTAACTTTTTGCTGTTTTTTGATATGGTTTTCCAGAAAATGCATGTAACTGGAAGTGAGAATTTATCGGCCGATGAAGGTAAAGGCATCTACAGCATAGAGGAGGAAAGCATTTCTGCTCTTGTAGATGAAACCAATGATAAGAGAAGGTATTTGTACGAATGGAAAGCTTGATTTTCTGTACACCAGATTCTTTTCTTCTTTTTTATCTCTCCTTTTGTTTGTTTGTTTGTTTGTTTGTTTGTTATTTGGTTTCTTTTTGTGCACTGTATTAGCTGATGAAAGGACTTGATTTCTGTACAATCCATATTGCATGCTTAGGACAATGAAATCTTGTCCTTTACAAAATGTGGTTATTCTGCATATTTGGGATTGAGGACTGATATGTTAGGAATCATCTTATATAGATCTGTAGATACATTTTGAAAGAATCATTATTTTGGAAGTTAGGACACTCTGTGAAAATTGGGCTGTTTATTGGCGTCTACAGAGATGTCTGGTGGCACTTGGTTTTTTTCCACTATGTTATGTTCTAGAGTATCTAAATGCTGAATGTTATAAAGCTGATGGTCTTTCTTTTAATTTTTGTTCTCTTCTGTGTTCTTAAAGGCATGTTGACACAAATGAAGAGAGCACAACTTTAACTTCTGCTGAAAATGAAGAGAACCATTACTGCTCAACTGTGCCAGAGGCATCCAACTTAGAACAAGCTACAGAAAACCATGTTGATTCATCTGCAGGACCGTACATCAATCAGGAGCATAGTGGTTATCCGCTTTCAGGAAATACAGAAGATTACAACCATTTGGTAAACAAGTACTATGAACTTGAGGACCAAAGGCAAAAGATTCTTCAGCAACTTAACCAGCTTGGTTACTGGAATAATACTTCTGGCCCAACTACTGTCACCTCGCAAGAACTTCAAGCCTCCCAAGCTTATCCGGCTGCTACTTGTTCTCTCTGTCCTTATGGCTGTCAAAGCTGGGTCACGCCTTGCAATTCATCATCCTGTTATTGTGTGGGTGGAACTTCTGTTTCAACATGTAACAACGCCCCAGCGGAAATTGCTTCCGCTAAAAACGTGGTATCCACTGGAGATACTGATTTTGTGAAAACAGCAATGGTTGCTGCAGAAAAAGCGCTCACTTCCTTGAAGAATCGAGATTACATTAATCCTAGTAGTTATGATAATGAAGGTAAATATAGCTCGTTTACTTGCAGTATCTGCCACTTCTTTCATTTGCTGCTACTGCTTATTGTTCTTGTAGGTGCTTTAGTTAGGATTATCTACATTATATTTGTGTTATTGGAATGTCCATAATGCCTGATCCACTAGGTGGTACTGTTATATTTCCTCTTCCTGCAGAAATTCAGAACTTCAAGATGTAAATAAGATTCTTTATGTAATAGCTATAACTATTAATATGGTTTGTTCTGGATTAAAAGTCAAACCCATTTCCATGTGGTTCTTCTGTTATTTACTTATTAATTGTTGCATTTTGAAGCTTAGAAGTTTATGCAATTCAGTATTATGGTGCAATAGGGCAGATTTAACTTTCTGGTAAATCATGAATAGTTTCTGGATGAAAACTTAAGCAGGTGACCATATTTAACAATGTCATGTGATTGTTTTGTATATCTTGCTATAAATGATTTGAGGGTCTATTAAGTTGTTATGAAGTGAATTCTGCGTGCATCACATATGAGGTTGACAGTTCATACTTCATACTAATATGCGAGTCCATAATACATCATTTTATCAATTAAATTGCTATCAGCTATAAGCATGGAAAACCCCTGGCTAATTTTACATGTATTGCAAATATTGATAACATTTTGCTTCAGCCTTACTCCACCCTTTTGTCAAATGATGATGTCAGTCCCCAATGCTTTCAACTATGATTTTTCCTCGATTTGAGACTACAATCATTGGTTTTACATATTCCTTTTGTTAGTTTATATAACATCGATCTAGCAAGGGGCAGTTATACCTTAACTGCTGGTGTAAAAATTACCGTTTGTTACATTAGTAGAAAGATGCCATCTCATTAACAACTAATGACACACTTTCAAGGATTTGTGCAAAAAACCCCCCATCTATGAACATGTCATTAGATATTGCTATCCAACTTAACTGCTAATTTGATTGTTCGGTCTTTGTAAATTGCGTTATCTCATTATTCTATCTCTCTGTTCATATTTAAATGTTGAGTTACCCCATATGTTTTAGACTTTAGAGTCTGTTTTTTGTCACATGATTCGTTAACTAAATTAAAATTCTCTTGTTCATTGTTATATTGATTGCAGGCAAAGAAAAACAATTAGAGACTGGCTGCAATCATGCAGAGAAAAGTACCAGCTCTGAAACAGATCTTACAGTGGTTTTAAATGCTTGGTATTCTGCTGGTTTCTACACTGGAAAGTAAGTACTATCTGATCGCTAGATTGCATTACTAATGCCTTTTTCTGTATTCATGCAGAAGTGTTATTTATGATGAACACATGTTTATATGCTTGAAAGAAAAAGAAAATAAAAATAAACAAATATCGAGTGGCAACAGGTTTTGATGCTAGCAGTCACTATAGAATATACAAGGATAGCTGCCTGATGATTCTGATTAGAAATTGTCACAATGAGATGGTTTTCGAGATGTAAAACTAATTCTCAAACGCTGGTTGGATCATTGGGGGGGCGGGGGTTATTGGGGTTCATCCCATTAGCTGGAGCCGCATTCTAATTTACCTTTTTAAAGTCACATATGCCGCCATTGGCTATTAACAACACTTTTGTGGTTCAGGTATCTCTCCGAGCAGTCTTCCGCAGCTAGCCAACGTCGATGATTTCTTGTATGGACCAAATGCCAAATGAATTTTGACCTGGATGCGGATGTGTGCACGGAAGAGCTCACCCATAATAGAAGTGCTGGCATTATTGTAAGCCCATTTGTTTGGTATAGCTGTGACGTATTAGTTTTGTTATTGAAATCTATCCTTATTTTTATCTGGAGATGTGGTAGAGCTGCTAATATGTTCGTCAAAAGTTTCCGTGTGGGTGTGTACATGGCACATTTTACTACATTTACTGCTGCCATTAACACTGTAAACTTCTCTCATCCATAGTGAGTGGATCCCTGAGTAATATTGATAGTTTGATACTCATTGAACGTTAATGCAATAGTAATATTAGTTCATATAAATCAGCTATTATAAGAAAAGTCAGATGAGTTTGAATGTCATTCCTCATGATGATATACTTAAAGACGTGAAGAAGGCTAGCTAGCATTTCAATTTCTCAGTTTCTATACTAATAATGGTTCCTCAGCGAAAAATACTAACATACTTTTCTAACCGTAAAATAAGCCAAAATAGGGATTTTGGAAGAACCACATACTTTATATCAATGCGCACACTAATCCTTCAAACATGATTACTCAGTAGAAGTATCTCATTAAGCTTTCACTGCAGCTGCTGCTTCCTTTATTTGATCAATGGTGAAAATTCCAAAGAAATCATCTTCTCCAACAGCATTTATAACTGCATAAGCAACATCATCGACACTCACAGGTGGAGCCAAAAGTAGATCAGAGGCCGGAATAGAGCTCAAAGGTTTTGTAAAGTTTTCTGTAGCACGTAAAACTCTTTCAAGTGGTTCCCCTACTAAATCCAAGGGGATCTCAAATCCATCAACTTTCCTCTTTCCATAAATAAAAGCTGGCCTTAGTACAACACCTGCACTTTCAGCAAACCATGAATATCAAGACGGATAAATGACCCCGAAAAAGGACCAGAAATAAAGGACCACGAAGAATCAACTTTACAGGACAACTTAAATTTTACTTCGCAGGGAATGACTGGTGTGAATTAGCACAGTAGATTGTGGTGAAGCGAAGAGAGAGATTTTAGGGGTACACACGTATTCCATAATTTGAAAACATTTATCAATAAGTACTCCCTCCATAATAGTAGTTTTTTTTCCCTTTTTAATCTTTTTTGGGATATCCCGTAAACAAGGAGGAAATGTGGCTGCTGGCACTCGGGCCCAGGTCTCTACGACCATAACATAGAATTCTAACCACCAAACTACAACTCTTGTTAAACGCCTATCTTTTATAACTAAATTTTACAAATTAGCTATTGGTACCATGGTAAAGAGGGAGTACTGATGATGTTTATCATTTGTATCTCAATTCTTCTAGATCCAATTAATGAACCTTCCTTATAAAAATTGGACTATAATCAGCCAAAAATTAAAAATATTTACATAATGTATTGCAGTCTACCAGGTATTATAGAGTTAGCTCCATGGTGCTTGCCTAATTTGATGGAACAATAAAGATGCACATAAGAATACCTGAGCTTGGGTATTTGGAGAGAACTTCTGATTCTGCTTTCCTCTTCCCCGTGAAGTACCCAGATTGAAGTAAAAATGGTGGTAAATTATAATCGTGGACTGAGATCAAGATGAACTTCGGAATTCCTGCAGTAGAGATTCATGCATTTGGTTAATGTTAGAAAATTATGCGAACTCACAGGTAATGACACGAGCACTTACATTTTCATGTAAAAACATGACTACATGAGTCAATCTACAACTCACTCAAATCACTTAAAAGCGCCTTGTTAATTGGTTCCCTATGTCAGTTTAACACACAGATGTTCTCACATTAAAGTTGCACTGTACATATACGTCCATCAAAGAAGGGTCTATATCATGAGTCACAAAATTTAGCTCACCATAATCTTTAGCAGCATTGACTGCCACAACATTAGCCTCTCCATTGATCCTCTGCATTTGTTCCTCACTACCAAAACCTCCTAGGGTTGAAACAACCGCTGTGGCGCCAAGAAGAACCTCGTCCCAATTAGCATAGAAAACATCTCCTGGGAGAAAAAGAACAGCTTGAAAATCCCTTGTAGAAGAAAATGTATAATTATTAAATATCTATAAGGAATAGATTAGAATTGGACAGGCTCTAAGAAATCATCCTACTTTTTCATCGAAAACTGACACGCGAAACAATTATAACCTAAGGTTTAATACGTGCAAATACCACAGGAATTGGTATCTACAATGAAAATCACTCAAGCAAATTCGAAACCATAAAACTTCATTTGGTAAATCAGAAAATTTTTACATCCATTCAAATAACAGAAAATGCCCAAGCATGACAGCGGGCATCTTCATCTATTATTTTTATTTTCCTTTTTTAATAACTAATGAGTATCAATTGTCAATTTTCAGTAAAGGAAGATCCTCTGCTGGTGGGCAGCACTATGTAGGAAAAAGGTTCATAAGACTACACGAAAATAAAATGAAAGTTGAGTAGTAGATTATAGAACCAAGATGAGATATGAGTAGATAAATGAACCTGCCTGACTTCCATGTGACCTGATCAACCCATGAACCTGTGTAAGATGGACGTCCTGACCTGTGAATTAGATGAAACGTTGAGGCTCAAAACATTAACACCAAAAGCCAGGCAAAAAGCTTCGGAAATGATGAGACGATAAAAGAAACTGAAAACACTTCCCCAACAGACGACAAATAATTTGTTACCTGCTAAGACTTATCACCTCGATACCCTTGGATACAGCAGCTTTGCATATTGCAGAACCAACAAAACCACTCCCTCCTAAAACTACAATCTGACAAGGAACATAGAAAGATTCAGTCTGACAGAGTATGATGTAACTTTGACAAGAAAAATAATAACAGTATTAAAGTTCAGATAATCATACACGCTCAGTCCTGACATCAGCTTTAACATCAATAGTACCAGGATCAATATCCTCTTGCATGCCTGTCCGTGCATATGTACATCTGATTCCAACTTTACTTGAACTACATGCAGCAACAGGATTTGATTAGCATGACCTTAAATTCATAAAAGCAAAAAATAAAAAATTAGTGAAGACAAATCCCCTAAGAGGCACCACATTTAAGGCAGTTGACTCTCCATGATGAAGAATGACTGAGTTACACATAGAGCATTTCCGGGAACCTTAAAGCTAAAGAGAAGCATAAAGCAAACAATTATCAAGATAGCATGAACCCCCTTCACATGTTTGTTTTCACCAACAGTGAAGTGGGGAAGATAAGAATGCCTTTTCAGCGATAAATCTAGCTACCAACAAAAAGTCCCAAACAGCCAATTTTTGTCACTGGATCATGCTGATGCAGATCTAAATTCCTGAATTATATAACAGAAGGTGGATTGCTATAAAACTGTAGAAGAATTGTAGACGTTTATTTTGTAACCTTGATGTTAATCCTCGCACACAACCACTCTGACTACTAAATGGAATGGAAGACAATGCTCCCTTTCTATCATCTTCCAGGAAGGTATTCGGTATTCCAATTTCCAACCAACGCCAGACAGCTGTAAGGAACAATAAGTAATTACCTAGTGACCTAGAGAAATGAATACAGAGTGCTGATGTTCAGAGGAAAGATTTTAACAAAACTACGAGCCTTTTCGACAATGAATGGTAACTACAGTACTTCCTAATCAGTTCAACTAGAAGTCGTGTTCAAAGTAATGCTAGCAAATCCAATAAAACTGCAGAATCATGAGCAACTCTAAACTGATGGAGTCACTCTACACCAGAAGTATTTAGTTCTAAAAAGAAACCCAATTTTAATGTTTCATTAACAAGGGAAAAGACTCGGTTTTGAATTTGATCCTGGCAGTAGATTTGGGTTGGTTCTTGTTAAGTAGTACAACATCGAATTCCAAACATTCATGGTTTTTGACACCAAATCAACCAGCTGAGTGCGTTTGATTATTCTTTCAGAAATTAAGTAGCCCCGAAAACTAAAACAGAAATGCCAAATTTATCAGCAGACACAGAGAAATCATTTTTATTTTTTTTTTGAGAGTAACAATTAGCAAAAGATTATGGCACCTCTACCTTGGACTACCGGAATCCCGGTGAAGTTACAAAAATTGGATTTCTAAGGCGCAATCAGCCATGCAAAAGCAAGTAATAACATCAATGAAGATAAAAACAACAAGTGGGAATGATGGTTGAAGCAAACTGACCATGAACGGGAAAGACCGGGAAGAAACCGGAGATTGTGCGAACAGGGAAACAAAGCTCCGCTGCTTCTAGTGAGACAATTAGAAGAAGAAGAAGAAGAAGAAGGGGCTGCGGATACGGCAGCAGCTGGAAATGACACTGAATTCATCGTTTTTTCGTCCTGATTTTTCAGTGATGAATTTCGCTGCAGGAAGACGAGCTGAGCGAGGGAGAAGAAGTGTGGAGGAGGAGAATAAGGAAAAATGCTCAAGTTGTGAATGGCATAAACAAAAACCAAAAAAAAAAGAAAAAAGGTTTTAATTTACATATTTTTCTGGTGTGTGACTGTGTGACGCCGATGTATTCTTCTTCCTTTTTTTTTTTTTTTTTTGGGAGCAATTTTTGTTGGGAAAATATTTGCTCGTTTTCATTTAACGGTCTTGTTTTTGTTTTTTTTTTTTTCAAATGACACACAAAGATAAATACTAATAATATATTCCGTCTCTCTTTATTTTCAGTCATTTCGATTTGTCCTATGTTTATTTAGATGTTTTTCTAATTCAAAATAAAAATTTTAAAATATTTCATAATTATTAGAAGAATACAATAGATTTAAAAATTCCTTTTGAAAATTTTATTTATTTAAAAAAAACATTATTAACGACAAATCGAAATATCTTATGTCTGGAGGGAGTATTACGTATCAAAAATGTACCTGAAATATTTGAAATTAGTCAAACGACGCAATTGTTTGGCACTTTGTTTGATGAAAAGGTGAAATAATGCAGAAAATAATCATATGTTTGAAATACTTTCCGTGTGTACTTTTTTTTTTTTCAAATTATAAGAAAGTGTATTGAAAAAATGAGTTTATAATATTGTAAAGAAGCTATAAGAGTTTTGAGGGCACGTTTTGAAAAAGTATTATTATATTGTTTTCTTGAAAATTTGTGTTATGATGTCATGGGTGAAATATGAAAGAAATAAAAATGTCGTTCAAATTTCTTTTAAATTTTGACTTCTACGTGGAGTGATTACCTTGAGTACTATGTGTTGCTTAAGTCAGAACCAAGGGGCTCAAACAAATTCGAATTCTCTTATATATTACTACTATTTATTTAAACAAACGCTTATTCCATTTATTTACCACAAAATAAATTAATGAGATGAATTTCATGACTTGTATGACACTGTGACTGATATTTTACTTTTTACAAATTCTGTCTTACAACAAATTAGATTAGATTCGACATGCCACTAATTTCAAAAAAAAATACTCTCCGTTCTATAATTATTGTCCAGTTTGAGTTTTCATTCTAGTTCAAATTGTACTAAAAGTGAAATTTGAAACTGGACAATAATTTTGCAACAGAGGGAGTACGTAATATTTGCATACACTTCTTTTTCTCTATAAAAAAAAAAAATTAATACTACATCCTTTTACATTTTCTTCTTTGCTTTTTAGAGACAAAAACAAAATATTTCGGAAAAGAATTTACCAGTCGGGGAGAAAAGCCCGTCAAAATGGACGAAAATAGCCATTTTACCGTCAGAGATTCTAGTAAAACTCGCAGTAATTTTAAATGCGAAAAAGCCCGTCAAAAAAAGTGTATGTACAAGGAAACACAAGTGTATGTCGGTCCCAATCCAAGTTCAATTATCCGAGCTGTATTAGGGTTTGACGCTTCAACAGAACCTCAGACGACGCCGTTGGAATCTCGGAAGCCGGTGGAAATCCCCCCTATTCGTCGACTTCTCCATTATCTTTTCGTATGTTTAAGGTTATGTCCTGCCTTGGATAACAATCCGTTAATCCTTTTAGTTTTTATATTAATCTTTGGAGGCTTAAATTTTTAGTTTGATTCTGCAACTACTTCATGGATCAGAAGTAAACTTGTTCATGTACGTTGTTATACGTGATGTGCTAATACTCTTGTTCATGTCCGAATTCTTAAAGTCAATTCTGTATCGGATCATGTGTAAAGTTTTAATTGTTACGTATTTGTGTGGAATTTTTGTGTACTTTGGGTTATTATTGTTTCCTGTTTGAGTATAAACCTGTTCATGTACGTTGGTATACGTGTTGTGCTATTGAATTTTAATGAGTAACACGTTTGGACGTGCTTGTTGGGAACTCTTGACTCCGAATTCTTAAAGTCAATTCTGTATCGACTCATGTGTAAAGTCTTAATTGTAGCGTATTTGTGTGGAGTTTTTGTGTATTTTTGGTTATTATTGTTTCACGTTTGAGTATTTTCAAGCATAATATAATAGTTATGCAGAGAAATTTCTGGTTGTATGAATTACTTGGTGGTATTATAGAATTTTTGTTTATGGGAGATGTTTGATCGTGCATTATGAGGGACCTGAAAATTATTTCGAGTGTTTGATGCCTGTGCATCTTAAATGTATGCTGGCATGGGTATTTTTTCTCTTCCCAAGCTATGTCATCTACAAAAATAAGAGAACAATGTATTTTGGGTGGGATATATTCTTACTTTGCAAGTTATGGGGAACAACGAATGTTTGATTGTGAGAGAATAGGTTGTAGTGAACACGGGTCCTTGTTGGATGCTTGGCCTCCTGCATGATTGAGTTTGCAGTTCATTTTATTTGGTGTTCTGCCTCGTGAATTTGATATGAAGCGTGTTGCTTGCGCTGTTATTGGGCATTACTAGTTGTGTGCAGCCAATATCTACGTTTGTTGGTAGTTTAATCACATGTGGCTGCTGGGGCTCTAGACCGCAAAGTTCATTGTCCCCTGGTGCGGCTGAGATCACCTAGAATATGTTGACAGAATACTTTAGCAATGCACACCACTTCACTTTCAGAATAGCCCCACTTGTTGGGTTTTGGCCAAAGATGTTTCTGGACACTATTATTGTTTCATTTGCAGTTGATTGTGTGAAGTTGCGACATGAGTATCCAATTCATTATATGGGTTGCATACATATTTTCCCTGTGCATTTTTTCGAGAGTACTTTTTTTTGCTTGGCTTCTTCTTCTGGTATATCTACATTACCTCTTGATGCATCTTATGAGGAGGCCTTCCTGGAATTTAAAACTGTATCTTATCGATTGTTTATGTGATTTTTTTTTTATTTTATTTTTTCTATTTGAGTAGTTTGCTTGGTACTGTTTTTGAGTAGCATTCCTTTTGGTAGTGGATCAGTCTATCTTTCTATGGTCTTTCTTGTTGCTAGCCAATAATATTGCAACATATGATTAAGTGTAGAAGAAAATAGTTGAATTGTTATTGCAAAATTATCTAATCAATCTATCTTGTCATCTAGGGTTCTTTCACTTTTAGCAATGGCGTACTTCCTCTGAGTCACGTCAAAAACTGTGTTGTTTAAAATAGTCTTCTTCGAACTTTTGGCTTTGCATCTTTCTGTGGGGATTGATCTTCTGTGTCAAAATGGAAACAAAATTCGCCAAGGTATTGGGTAACAAACGCGCACCTGTTCTCAACCAGAAGAGGAAACGGATGGTCTACTATGAGAATTATCCTGGGATGTTATTGCCGTCACGTTATGCTATGGGTTCTGCCATCCAGCAGCTTGTCAAAAGGAGGAAACTTGGTCTGTCAAGGGGCAAGAATGATAGTTTCTATGGTGGAAAGCCTTCTTCAGGGTACTATACACACTTCCTCAGATCTGGGGTTCCACAACGTTTGATGGTCCATGAGGAGGGTGAATGGGTCGACTATCCTTCAGGCATTCTTGCTTCACTTAAGAAAGATCTTGAAATGAAGAAGGCCACAATTGAGATTCAAGATAATAAATCTCACATTGTGTTGGACTTTTTGCACATGTTGCAACTTGACTTGGAGACTGGTGTGCAGAAGCGTATTGCCTGGATTGATGAAGCCGGGGGCTGTTTTTTTCCTGAATCCTTTACCGAATATGATCCTCGTTGTTACTTATCGAATAAAAACAATGATCATCCAGAGACTCAACCTCCTGCTGATATCAAGCTGCAAGTTGAGATTGCGATAGATGGGGCTGACATTTTAAAAATGATGGAGTCCAGTGGAGAGTCAAATGCTATTGTTAAAGAAATTCGAGTTCACCAAACTTTCAATCAAGAAGATTACAGGGTGGAAGGTGCGGAGGCCGACGACAGCAGCATCAAAGAAGATAATGTAAACTTTGACCAATATTCTAGTGAGACTTGCAAGAATGAGAATTTAGAATCCAAATCTGGTACTTTACTGGAGAATCTGGACTCTCATGCTGTGAAAGATATTTTCTTTAAGGGGCTTCGTTCATCTGAGGGCGCAGAAATTATTGAGATTGCGGAGGGCTCAAGTTTATTCAAGGAATCTCGGTTTGAACTTTTCCAAAACCAGGTTGAAATCACAAAAAGGTTCCGTGGGGATGCCAATGTTCAGTATGCTTGGCTTCCATCTTCGAAGGAAACCGCCTTTAGTATTATGAAATATGGGTTTGGCTTTATGGAACAATCAAGAGTTGTGCCATTTTATGGTCTTGGTGTTAATCTTATCCCTGCTAATTGCACTGATATCAGGTCTGCATTCTGTTCCCTGTACTAATCATCTGGAGTTTAAATTATTGTAATAGCAATTTGAAGTTGGCAGGTTTGTTGTTATGCTTCTCTCCTGTGCCCCGTAAGTGTAGATTTCTTTATATTTGAGGAAACTAGTTGGTGTGAACGTTGTTTATGTGATTTATTGTTGAAATTAGGCTTGTTTTGGAAACTTATCTTTTATTCGTATAATAGTCTTTTATGTTTCTTATGTGAAGAATGTTTAAATTTGTGTGTCATAATTTGGAGTAGTTTGGACGTGTTCTGTGCACTAGTGCAGTTTCATAATTTCTCTACCTTGTGAGACTGATATTTATGAAATGTTCTTTCCTTCCAGATTAAGTGTTTCTGAGGTAAGACGCTTATATGGTAAACCCATGTTCTACCGTTCCTCTTCTTCCTTGCTTTTCTTCCCATGCATTTTTCATACTTCGTGACTACAAGTTTTATGCATGTCATGAAATTTGTGCTATGCCTATTCGCGACAATCCCCTTGTGCATTGATGTCTCACACTCCTTGTGCCTCTGTTCATTGAACAGAACATTGGCTTCACGCCGCCAATCCCCTTCAGACTTTGAACTTTTTTTCTGTTGCTTTTGGTTTTTACGTTTCCATCGCCTAGATAATTTCACAATATACACACTTCTCATAAGTTTTAAGGTTCTATTTTCTTTTTTTACAGTGCAAAATTTAGCGATAATGACGAAAATGGTGTTCGGCATATGTTATTTTGCCGTGTAATTATGGGTAACACAGAGCCTGTTCATCTTGGATCGAAACAGTTTCATCCCAGTAATGAAGAGTTTGACAGTGGTGTCGACAATGTTCATAATCCAAAGCGTTATGTAGTTTGGAATATGAATGTGAACTCTCATATCTTCCCGGAATATGTTGTTAGTTTCAAGATCTCTTCAGATACTGAAGGTGATGGTTTACTCCTTTTAATTGCTTATATGGTAAAAGCATCCATGCCATATTTATTGATTGGGAATCAGTGGAGGTACTCCAGTGTCTGTTGCTTGTCTTCTAGTGAGTTGGATGTGTCATATTTATGTTCTCTTTCTTTCTTAGTGAAGTTTCACAAACAGCAATCAAGATCATTTAGCCTCCACTCTGTCCTGCATTAGTTTACTACCTATTTGCTGCAAAAGTTGATACCTTGAAGTGTGTAAGAAAGTCGGTGTTAAAGTTGGTGAATGAGCAACTGAACACTACTCTTTCTTTCTTTCTTTCGTCATACTACAGGATTTGTAGATGAAACTGAGAATAAGCTTCCTTTAGAAGGGTCAAGCACTTGCAATCAAGTGCCTCAAGTCCAGGTAGACTTAACTCATCTTGACTGGTCTTGCGTAAAAGATTTCTGATTTTCTTCTTCTTCTATATGCTTTCTTAAGTGTGTTCACTTCTTCACTCTCCATTGTTTGTGTGGCTACCCATAAAATTTGTGTTCAAGTAATGCAGACTTTTATAAGTATTGTTTATGACACTGGTATTCTCTTAGTCGTCATCTTTGTTTGCAGCTAACTGTAGGATGTTTAGGAGCATGCAGTTCAGCCCCATTTATAGTTTGGTATATTTCTAGTTTTTCGAAGTGGGTTTTGCATGATTCATAGGATCAGTTTTTGGTGTTTGTTTCAAATGGAATAGTTGGTGAATGCACTTTGATGAAATAGAAGTTGACATGTGCATCTGAAGCACAAGAGTGAAGTATCTTTTGCTCATGTTTGAAAGGAGCTTGTTTGATCTTTGCTATGGAGGGAGCTTTTTGGGCGGTACAATATTGACTAGCCAAATAATTGAACGGGTCTTTACGTGGAAATTTTCTGCTTACATATGCATTTTTGCTCATTGCAGATTTCCTTGATATGTTACACCTAGCATATTTACTTATGAAGTTCACTATTTACTTGCTAAAATCTTGCATCTTTTTTTTATGGACCAACTTTTGTAGCAACTGCTGAAATATCATTTTTTAAACTTTAATTTTACAATTCTCTGATCCCTTATGTCAGTGTTCTGGTAATTGTTTTTATGATATTTGTTGCATATTTCATTAATTTTTGGAAGCATATATCTTTAGATAGCTAGTTTAAATCATGCCACTTGTATGTGTCCCCCTTTTCATCTCCCGCCCCCCAAACACACACTAACTTTCTGCTTTGTATGTCATAGGTTGGGGATTGTCATCTGGCATTCGTTGGAAGCCCTAAAGAACAAGCTGTTAATCAACGTCCAGATTCTGTTAGGGCTCCGAAGTCTCCTTGGATGCCTTTTTCTATGCTGTTTGCTGCCATTTCCAACAAAGTTCCTGAAAAAGAGATGGACCTTGTTGAGACCAACTATGATTTGTTCAGGGTTTGTACATCTCAATCTTTTTCAGTTTTGGACGATATGTAGCCTTTCCATTTTTAATTTCTTTGGTGTTTTTTCCATCATTACCTTATAGGCTAAGAAGATAAGTCGGGAAGATTTTGTTAAAAGATTGAGGATGATAGTTGGGGATTCTCTGTTGAAGTCTACAATTACGGGTCTACAGCACAAGGTGTGCCTTTCAGTATATTCATAACTTGTTGATTTTGTTAGATTTCTGAGTAAAGCTCTATATCTGCCGAGGGCTAGAAGTGATCTCGACTGCCTCATTTTCTGCTTGTTTGGTGTTTAAATGGTGCTGCCTTTAGAGACTTTCTTCCCAGTGTACTTCCTTATCTTCTGTTTGAGCTGAAAATGTTATTGTGAACTAGTTTAAGCTGCTTGGTGAAACTGATCTTCTGTTGAATGATCATACGACGAAGTCGGTATTATCAGGAAAATATTTCTTTTTTGGATGCTGAAGTGGTCATGTTTGTTTGCTTTTGTTGGATTGTTGATGCATTGATCTCTCTACCATCGTTATCTCCTTTAAAACCCCTATATACTAACAAAGGACTCCATTCAGTTGAAGGAATTAAATCCATCTGTGAATCTTATTAGCCATGACGCTTAGATTGCATATGGTTGATAATTGAGGTTCCACTTTTTCCTCCCTCTTTCACCTGCACTTAGACCCCTAAATTATAGATGCATTTTTTTGGACTATATCAGCATCAACTTCTTAAACATGTAGCTACTTTGAATGTAAAATGTTGATCATTTGTAAATTTTTCTTTCTACAATGTGGATTTAAACCATGTTTGGGTGGTCTGTGCTTATATATAGCTGCAATGTTGTTAAATGTGGTTGAACTTCATTTCTATGGCAAATTGGGTAGTGGCTATTTTTAGGTTGATTGTTGACATTGTTTTTGTGGTTTTTTTTTATTATTATTTTTTGTTTGTGGGGGTTTGTGGTAACCGACCGGGATGGTGATGCGAGCTAGATGCCTTCTAGCTTCATCTATTTGTGAATATTAGGGTTTTGTAGCTGTGAAGATGCAGATGTGCAGCTCAACTGTGTGACATAAAACATGGTTTATGTCGACCATATATTGTTTCTAGTTTCTGTATTTTCTTCTGCATTAGAGCAGCTTGGCTAGAGTCCGACTGGTAGGTGTGATTACTTACTGGATTGTCCTATGCACCAATTTTTACTAATCAATTGAGTTCCGACTTCTATTTGCAGATTCCATCAAAATCTGACATTGAATTGGCCTCAGCAAAAGATCCCTGAAGTTTTTAGTCAGTGTTAAATGAGAATGGCTTTGAATTCCAAGGCAATAGGTGCCAACTGGTTTGAGGGCCATGTTTTCAGCTGTGAGTTGTGAATATGTTATGCTACAAGACTGTAGACTGCAATAGGCAATCTCATCTTTTATTAGAATTGGAAGATTTGGATTTGAATTTGTTATCGCCATATGAGGATGGTGCTGCTTTCTTACTTCTGTTGGAGTTTAAGCAGGCTTTCGCTTCTATGTTTGGTTTCTGGTAATCTGGACATTTGACTGAATTTCTTCCTGTATAGTTTTCTCTTAAGATGGGACACTTTATGGGTTCAAGCATCAAAACCGTCCTTTTCCTTAATAGGTAAATAACACAAACCTTGGAAACATCTCATTATGGGATTTCAAGGCATGGATCTCGCGGACCCCCCACCCACCTGAGAACTTCTGTGTGTATGGTTGGATTTTTAATATGTTTCCTCCTAGAGTGAGTGCCTGAAGGAGATTATGATCTTGCTTCTATGGCGCAGTGGTGAACTGTTGTTGCCATGTAACGGTCACGGGTACGAACCTCGGAAACATTTTTGTTTGTTTCTGTATAGGAATATAATGTTAACCCTGGAAACATCTTAAAGAATTTTGAGGCACGGATGCAGTGTACCAACTCTGAAAATCTGTTAAAGCTGGATAATAAGTACGTGTCCTCTCTTTAGGGTAAATGTCTGGAGTTCAGTCGCTTGGCTTTAAGCAGAGGCTACAGTTGAGACAGTTTTTTCAATTTTCTCTTCCCTCCTTATTCTCACCCTTAGGCATGACCCAGCCCAAGAAATTGAAAATAAAGAATTTTGGACGGAACTTGATTGAATATCTGTGGCTCCGTAGGTTCAAAAGGCCAGTTGCATTCTAGTTAATCGCAAGGCTTGCTTCTTTCACAGGTTTCTTTAAGAGTAGTTTGAAACATTCTCATTTCTGAAAGGTAGAGCTTGTTTGAAAGAATTAGATTTAAACTTTGCATTTCCGTTGTTCTTCAAGTGTTTTTGGTTTGAGGTCATCAGTTGTCTCTGTTTTCCTTTTTTCCCCTTCTTTACTTGAACCATTGAGGAAACTATGTATAAGTAATTACAACTATGAGCTATATGTCATATGATCTATAAGTTCACTTCTGACATTGCTGCTTTCGTTACCTTTAGCATAGTGTCTTATTTTTATAATGCAACCTTTTATAATTTGAATGTGCTGATGGTTGTATCAGGAAACACAAATGATGCTATATTTTCATCGCTTTCTCCCAATCTTTTGAAAATGTGTTCTTACAATCGATAGTTGTCCGGTGACATGATCAGCCATAGGAAGTGAACAGCGTCATTGGACCATGATCAGCCACGGGATCATTGATCTGTTGGAATTGTGCGAAAAGAATCTGAAACCTAATGTAATATGACATGCCACAGCATGATTCTCAGACGTGAGAATTTCATTAGAAAACAAAAATCAAAGTGGAGACTTAAAAACATTGGTTGAGCGTGAAAGAAAAACCCAATAGTCCAATCACCAACTCGGTTCTGCGACAATTTACAAGTAAACAACATCTGATTTTCTATGTGATATATGAACATTCTAAGGCATAAGAGATACAGGTAAAAGGGGGCATAAGAGAAGTTGGATAATTGGTTTCAGATGGTCCAGTTGGGGCTTTCAGTCTACCATGAACTACATACAGTTGAAGTGGTTATGCATCATTTGCTGTTGATGGGTCATACCCAGGAGGTTTAATATCTGGCCAGTCTCCCCGACAACCTAACCTAACATACAAACTCTTTTTACCTGCACAGCGTAAAAGATTAATCAGTGACACAATCTCAGGAACAAACTGCAACTATAAATTCAAGCTAAATCCAAGCTTGAGGTCTTATATTTAGGGGCAAGTGTCACAAAATATCTTGATCTTATCATTGCTATTCCTAATGATACCAAAATACTTGGAATGGTGGAAACTCTAGGAGGATCAAACTTTAGTTCTGGATTCCATCAATAACAGAATGCACTTGGAAGTGCAAAGTAAACTTATTCCCTCATTTTCCTCCTTTGATTTCGGCTCAAGGTCACACTTTCAAAGTACGTTACAAAAGACTCTGGCAACTGAACAAAAAAAAGTATACCTGGAAGTTCTTTATCTGACAGAATTAAGCGTTTAAGGGCGCTCAGTGTGGCCTGGGCTACAGTTTTTGAGTAGTTGGTATCCCAACCTCCAAGTTTGACTACCACTTCTGCATTAGAATAGCCTCGAGTACCATCTTGGAAGTGCCTCTTTGCCTCATCTCTGGCTGAAACTTCATCTACAGATGGGAGTCGGCAACAATGGAAATAGTGTGAACTTAGCATCTATAATACAGAGGTCAGACTGCCAAACTACGTGGTCTTGTATAAACAGAATCATAATCTGTCACGAAGTAACTATTCCACATTCAATGCTTCTTAGATTGGTTATACATGCACTGAACGTGCAACATGTTGTCTAGTGAAATGGTGAAAGCTTATATGTCCACTCAGTTGCTTTTTATTGATTAGGGCACAGTACCATTATATCACTTCTTATGCTTTGGATTTGAGCCTTATAAGCTAAGATTGTTATCTGTCTTTTCCAGAACACATTCACACAGATCAATCTAAAACAAATTCTAGAGTGATCCCCAGTTCTTGTGTCATACACATTCCAAAAACTATGGTATCAACTCAGTAAAATCAACTTACAGAAATAAATTAAATTAACAGAGAAACTCAGAAAACAAAGTTTGGAACCAGACAGGGACTCCTAAAAGGTGGGAGAAACTATCACCTGTCGCTTCAGATTGCGACAACCAAACGGTAAATCCAGCAAACAGGTGCCTCCAATTATCAGTTCTACTAGCTGCACCGTGTCTGCCTCCTACTGTTGCAACAACTGTCCGTGCATGACTGAAAGATAAATTACATGAAAGGTATTCGTCATGCCATAGTTTTCATTACCATGTAAAAAGTAAGTTGGTGAAGTTTTACCAGCTCAGGTTCTCAAGTATAGCACTTTCTACTTCAGCCACAGCATCAGAGCCCTGTGTGGATTCCCCTGGAATTTGATTGCTCAAATTAGTGAACTAAAAAGAGAGTTAAAAGTTGCACTACATCAGTACTTTAGTGTCACTTTTAGCAACCTTAATAAAATCCTTTTAGGATCAAGGGTACTCTTTAGTCACATTAGGATACAGGCAGGGGTACTTTAGTGTCACCTTTAGCAACCTTAATAAAATCCTTTTAGGATCAAGGGTACTCTTTAGTCACATTAGGATACAGGCAGGGGTACTTTAGTGTCACCTTTAGCAACCTTAATAAAATCCTTTTAGGATCAAGGGTACTCTTTAGTCACATTAGGATACAGGCAGGGGGCAGTTAAATTGACTACTTCTATCCTGCTTTTTGTTCAGTCTATGACAGACTGCTAGACCGAAAATATTTGGCCCTGCCAAACCTTTACTAATGCAAACTCCAATGAACCGAACAAGAAGTGGTTCCATCTAATAACTCAAACATACTCTTCCGTATCTGACAGGGTGGATTAGCCAGCACAAAGAACATGTAGGAAATAGTGGACACCAGTTATGAATATGATAACTCAATAACGAGGCAGAAACTTTTGTTGAGTTGAAAATGCTAGACCTCATACATGAATCTATAGTTTGCTTGGTAAATGCTTCCATTAGCTCTTTTGTATCTAGTGGTGTATACCTACACAGAACAAGAGGAGACTGTTAGGTAACAGTTGAGTTTTCGAATTATTCATCATGAGTTCACAACTAAACTAGAGTGAGGTTATACCCTAAGCCAACTGCTAGCTCTCGAGAAATCTTCTGGTTTATCTCAGTTGATTCTCCAACCAGGTAGACAGATGTTCCTTTCAGAAGTTGTGTAACTCCCACAGTAAGTGACTCCCAGGACTCAACAATGTCAGGCCAATATAATTCCCCGTCTTGCTTCTTCAAGTTAACGACCAATTCATCATCATCCAGGTACCTGCAGGTTAATGTTAAACTGCATTCTATTGAACACTGCATTAAAGTTACTTCTGCAACAAGTTTTATGGAATGCAAGTACCATATTGTTTCAGCTGGCTTGATCTTCTCATAGAGAACACTAGTTTCCATTAGAGTTCGAAGAGATCCATCAAGCTGTACTTTGATTGCTAGAGAATCATCCTTTGGGTCCACAATTACATCTCTGGAAGTAATATCTACATCCCCAAGTTTTAACCGTAACTCCACCTCAGAGCCACCATCAGAAAACTGCAATTGAAATTCTCAATAAGTACTAGGAACAGGACTCAGCCAATTAGTAAGAATCTAGAGGAAAAAGCCCAGACCCTATTCCAATTTCATAGTTTCAAAACATCAATTGCTCTAAAAACATATCCGCACGAATTTTAGATTTCCCGGCAAGATAGTAATCATAAGACTACAAAACACAAAGAATGAGTCTTCACAATAGAACATAGTCAAAGAAGCTTAAAAGGATCATCCCTGTTCTATCCTCCCTGCTCATTTCCCACATCCTATGAACCAAATTCGACGATTCGATAACCAATGCCGATACTTCCATAGCTACCAGGTTTTCCCAAGGGAAAAATAACTACCAATTCCGTTGATAACTTGATGATTGATCAACAAATTGGCAATTAAGAAACAACCCTTTTCCTGAATACAATTCAATCCTGTTTATTACTTAACATATGGGTCTGAACATGAATATCTAAACCTCAATTACAGACCAATAGAAGCTTTCGTCCTTCATTTACAGCCAAATAGTAACAAAAACCATTAAAGCATATCTGAAAACACAGAAATTGAAAAGGGATTCCTTTTCCTTATCCTGGGATTGATGCGTACCTCATAATGGGTCGTGTTCGTGGAGACAGAAGGAAGGGTGCTGCAGAAAACCCTGTTGAGTTTCTTGAAAAGGGTCGGAGAGGAGGACCTGGGAGTGAAGCCACAAAAGCATCGAGCAGCCACTAGCTTGGGTCTCGGGAATGAAAGATTAAGAACGTTTGTAAGATGATGATTGTGAGTTTGAGTTGTGATTGCATTCGAAGATGAGATGAAAACAGAAGAAGTGGAAGCTGAAGACATTTTTTTTTTTGTGTTTCTACAGTTCTGAAAGTTTTTCCTTTTGGTGTCTTCAACGGGGATAAAGAAAAGAGGTCGTTATTCAAAGCTGGTTTGTGCGCTTCTAGCTCATCCTCTTCAAATGAATGAACCAACTATTCCACCTCATATTGGTATTTTGGTTTTGGTACAATGATACTCTTTTTTTTTTTGTTATGTAACACCACCATAATACAATCATACGTACGTAATCGCAAGTTGACATATTGATGACATTCGGAAACAAGATTTTAACTAATTTAGATTCGAATTAGATAAGTTACTCCAAGAGATAAAACTCTTCTAACAAATAATATAATCACGGTATAATCTTAAGTTAATAGATTTGTTGTGGATAACTTCCAAATTAGTTAAAGTAGCCATTGTGGTTATAGTGCCAATATGTTGTGATATCAAATGTATATTAATAAAAAAAATTAAGAAAATGAAAGTACAACTATTATTAGTTCCTTCATGGTTTTGACATTGTCAGTACAATATAGTCCGTGTCTTATCCTAGAATGCGATATGTTAAAATAGAAGGTGTTTTGGTTTTGCCCATAAAGTTTACTATTATTGTTATTATTGTTGTGATTATCATTATTATTATTATTACAAAAATAGGAAAAGAAATTTTCAAACGTTGGGGCTTCAATGTTTCGGGCCTTGCAAAAACACCAAGCTTCGGCGGTGATGAATGGATCACTGGAGCAGCTGAAATGAAATGGAATGTATGGGTTGGGTTGTGTAAGATATATTGTATGTGGTTGCGTGATGGGCTAATGCTATTGGATTGGGCTAGATATCGGAAATTGATGGTTTATGGATATGTGATATTAGTTGCTCGATTTATGTATGAATAAAATAGGAATGAGAAATGCTACTACTATTATCTTTCTTTATGTAACTCTCAATCGGTGTTAAAATGATTTTTTTTTTTTTGAGATTTTTCCTTTCTCTTGCGATTTCTGTTGCGGCCATGGTTTTGACTTTTGATGTCCAAAAGAAAATGAAAAAGAAAAAAGAAGATACTACAAGAGCTATTATCACTTTGCTTTTTTAATCTGTTTAAAATAGTGCCAAATTTCTTACATCTCGTCATGACAATTTTTTTTCTTCTTCATAGGATACCACATTAAGTGATATTTTGATTCTTACAACAAGACAGCTATAAGCCAAACAAGATAATGTCCATTTTCCTTCATTAAAACACAAAAATTATACCACTTTAGAAGTCAATTTTGATATACTACAAAGAACTTAAAGCTCTATTTTTGGGATGTTGATTCACTTCAAAAGCTGTATGGTTTTGTTTGTTTGTAAGTTTTGCCAACCATACATATTTCCACTTATCACCACCATCAAATAATAATAAGCTTATAAAAAAAGGGGGGTAAGAAGAGAAAGTGGAAAACTCAAAGGGAGAAGAGATAAATAGCCCGCCTTGAATGCCGGACAGACAAAGACAGCACTGCTCTTAGAAGTTGCAGAGGAGCAGTAATATAAATAGAGAGAGAGAGAGACGAAAGAAAGTATGGTCTCCATCACACCCTCTGTCCTAATTCTCTCCAAAACGACGCCATAGTACCCATTCCTATACTATAGTACTATAACTATGTATGTCACTCACCAAAAATACTCTTCTCCAGCCCCCACTATCCAAGCACATTTGTCCCAAGATGTGAAATCACATTACCCACCCTTATTTGTTTATAGTGACATCCCCTTGTTCCATTTGTTGTATATTAATCGTATTTCATTAGTTCGTATGATACAATATGAAACGATCTTATAATGAAACGTACGTCTTGTTTTGACATTATGTTATTATTTCCGTAAATTATATCAACTTACAATGTTGACTGATCTGTCACACTTTATCTTACTAGTTAGAATATTGTTCACGATCATATTCGAAACATAACTTTAATTATATGACTGAGCAAATAACACAATACGTTACAATCAATACAAAACATGTAGAACAATTAGAAGATACAGAAGATCGTATATACTTGTTCATTTCACCATCACATGTATATGTATCATGTATTCATCATCATGGTCCATAGATACACAAATCCACACCCTTAAAAAAGAAGTAGGAGTTCGGGAATAAAATTGAAGAAAGAATGAATGAATGAAAGAGTGAATAAAGGGACAAAATATTGAATGGTCTGTGTCTCTCTCTCTCTCATCAGAATTGAGAAAAGTCAGAAATGGAAGAGAGAGAGAGACAGAGAGAGATGAGTAATAGTGGGGGGTGGTGTAGGAAGGGAGCCATATATATAATAGCAGGCTACTATTGCATGCATAAATGGCAGAGGGGCAGAGAGGGTGGTATAATATTATGGGGGCAAACTGGTCAGTGATTCAGGGTCAATGAGGGGTCAATCATATTGTAATCCATTGCTAAATCATTGAATGGTTTTTGGTCCCTCTCTAGTCTCTCCTCTTTCCTTTTGTTCTTCCTTCTCTTTCTTGGTCCACATTTTTTTTCTTTCTTTCCATAGTTTTTTTTTTCCCCCTTTTTTTTCTCTTCTGAAATTGTACATTTGCACAGACTACATATTTACCATCAATAATCACCGCAAGTGCTACACCTCGTTGATGAGTAAAACAATTAGCCAAAAGTTGTTAACAACACAAACACAACAAACCCGTCCTCCAAGAGTAAAAATAAAGAATAAAAGAACAGAAGACAATCCTCTCAACATGAATATCTTTCATTTTATCTTTTTACCTTGTTAGAGTAAACTGAAGGACTAAAGTAGTGATTCATATATACCACTTGTTTTGTCATTGTAGATTGGAAGGTGTAAGTATGTTTAGTAATAGAAGTTTGTTTTGGTATAAAATCAAAAAGATAATCTTAAGCGAGCACATATCACATTCAAATTAATTCTCATTCAATTCAGATAGATTTCAAGATCAAAGTAAAATGTCAAGTTCTAATTCACTTAATAGCGGGGTAGACTTTGGGTTACGCCACAAACAACCTGTCAAACCATGAAAATTATAATCTTATTCGATCCACATTGACCTATTTAATTTTGTGGTATGCTACTCAATCTCCTTTGACTTCTTTAGTCAGCAAGTAGAATATTATAACATAGGTTTAGATTTAGGCAAGGTGTTGTCAGTCTATCCAAATACTGTATCCACAGAAGAACATAAATCAATATACTAATAACAAGTGTTTGACCACATTATCTTCCCTAATCAATCATGAAAAATTTCAAAACTCTGACCATCCTTATTTTGATTTTCACTTCAACTCGTAAAATTAAACTTCATAATATCCTAAGGCCTCATGTAATTTCTCACGTGTCACTATTAAATTTTGAAAGAAGCCTTGTAACGCCACCAATTGAATGATTCAGAAAATAATGTAAATGTTACAAATAATATCTACATGGATGGAGTCATGGAGATGGTAATCAGTTATGAAATCATTCGTTCACGATGATACTTTAGAATTTCTCTAAATTTTAAACCGGTTTTCTATAAATTTTTTATTTTTTTGTAACCTGTACATATGTTTTGAATGTAATGATAGTGTAATGATGGAGAAATGATGAGAGGAGTGTTGGGTGCACCCGCGAGAATCTCGCCATAATATATGGCGTTTTCTTTTGTTGTTTCTATTCAATTTGTTTGAGTTTGTTTCTGTTTTGTCTGTAGTCATATTTGCAGTATAAACAAGGGAATATATACATATAAAAATGTTTGCAGTACAATATATGTGTTCATATCCACTGTCATACACTGAAAATGATCGAAAGATAGAAAGGCCAAAAGGAAAAAAGAAGATTGAGGTGACAATTCAGGGCATCAATTCCAAGTTGAATTGGAATCAAAGCCAAAAAAGACCATCGTCATAAATGAAAATTTGAGCTCTGAAAATATGCCTTTTTAACGTCAAAAAGATAACTACAGAGAAACCCTTCAAAAATTTTCAGATCATCGTTGTACGTATGATCGGGACTGCATTTAAAATCGCCCTTCATTTCGAGAACAAACAATGTTAATTACTTTTGCACATTGGGTAAGTTAGTTTTTGACATATTTAAATAAATCATTAAACTTAGACTTGCCGTGAAGCGATGTTGACTCGTCTGATCAGAATTTTACTATTATTAAGAAGTCGGAGTTTAAACTTATCAAATTTTCATGAATCTGTCACTCAAGACATCTTTGTATCTAGCACAAACAACTCTTTTTATGTCTTTGTCGAGTACGTTAAGGCAGGTTGACCCAATAGTATGAAGAAAAGACTTGCTAATTTAAAATGGTCGATAATATAAATTTCGAAATCTAAGGGGACCAAAGGAGAAGAAATCAAGGTCACACAAACAAGGGGGCCAAAGGAGACTTTCATCAAACATTTTCCAGCTTTTAACAATGGCCACCATCAATTACTGACTTCTTTTTTCATATTGTAAAAAGTGCCTCGAGCTACTCAAAAAAAAAAAAAGAAAAAGAAAAAAAAACCCAGAAAACATCTTAATGCAATTTCTTCTTCTTATTTTTATTATTATTTCAGTTCCATTTATTTAATTTTTTGAAAAATTGTAGAGGTTGTGAAATGAAAACAATGCCACACCCATAAAAAAATGTCCCCAAAGAGACCCGTAATGATCCGACGGTGAAGAACCTGTAGAACGTCAAAATCAAAACTCCTAAGATCACGACACGCGTCCAAATCAGCTTGTCCAAAATTAAATAAAAAGGGGGAGGAAGGAATGATAGTGTAATGATGATAAAATAATTTGACATTCTTGGCCCTTTTTGCAGCACTGCAACCCCCTACTCCCCCTACTTGCTGACTCTTTGCTGTCCCTCAACATACTGCCACTCTACGGTTCCATTTAATTTTTTTTTCCTTTCATTTATAGAAAAATAATCTTTCATCCCATTTTTTTAGTTTATTTTGTTTTTACTTATACTTAAAATAATAATTTTTTTAATAAAATTACGTTCATATATATAATTCACATTAAATTTTGAAACAGAGACAGTACAAAACTAACATTTAGTAAGGTTCTCTTATTCCCGATTCAGTAGGATGTTTTGTAAATCAAGTCATAGAAATGAAGAAGTTAAAAAAAAATTATTTACAATAAAATGTAGATGGTGGAAGAAGTAGGTATTTTGCGATATTTTTCGGTCATCTGATTTTGGTTTTGTTTGGAGCATTTTGGATTGTTAAAATAGGGTAGAGTACATAACAGGATATTTACTGGTGATACCCAGTAAAAACTTTAAAGCTGCAATTATTCAACTCTGTCACCATCTCTTCTTTTTTTTTTTTTTTTGGTTTTTTCTTTGGAAATTTAAAGTTCTTTTTGGTTTGAGAGCTGTAAATTGGAAAAAAGTTGTTTGCCACATTTTTTCATTTTAGTCATCTCTATGGTCAAAGGCTAAGGTCAGGTCCAGGTTAATTGCAATGTTGACTAACAATCAATTCCGCAAAATTTGGAGAAACCAAATAATTGCCTCAAAAATGGAACTTCATCCAAAGAGTGTCCAACTTGACTTTGGGTTGCAGTTTGCAACATGTTTAAGAGTAAAAAAACACAAGAAATTTTCCAGCTAATTATTTAACAGGTTTTACACATTCTTATTCAGTTCTAAATATTTACTTCCTCCGACCCAAAAAAAAAGTCTACATCGAGTTTTGAGATTTGTACTAGTTTTAGTACAAATTTAAAAACTCAATGTGGACTATTTTATTTAGGACGGAAGGAGAAACTTTTATCATGATTTCATCGAGATATGATTAAAGTTGCACATTCTTGTACTAATATGAATGGTCTTCTGGTAGATTATACAGAAAAGTGAAAAAAAAAAATTATCGGGGGCCAAGATCAATTAGAATTTACCGTTTGATGCAAAATATTGTAGCGGTTGTATGCTTGTGCATTTTTCAAGTCCTTGGACAAAAATTCCCATCTCACGAGAGGATTAAAAAGAAAGGGGAGAAAAAGGCAGAAAATTAGTGTTCCACACGACCAAACCAAAAAAGCAGCAAAATCACAATCCAAAATCCCACGTACTCAGCAATTAAAAAGGCCATGCAGATATTGTTTTTCAAATAAGCAAACTTTGTCTTTTTCCTTTTGGTAATTTCCCCTTTTCTTCATAAGCTTTTTTTTACCAGTTTGTGTCATCTTTTTCTTCCATTTCCTTTACTGGGAAAAGCGTAAAAAGAAGCATGTGACATTGCAAAGTGGTGCTGAATAGAGAGCAGATTGATTTCTCCCCAACCCATTTCACAAAACTATGCTCTAACTACTCCTTTCAAACACATCTAATGGATTTGGCAATCCTCATTTTCCCTTTCTTTTTAAACATTGTAAGAATAATATATTGTGTTTGAAAAGAAAAAAAAATGATCAAGGCATATATATTCATATTGTCGATCATAACGAGTAGATGATGCATTTGAAATAGTTAAAAGAAAGGCCTCTTGCACAATGCAAAATCAACTAGCTATCTAGGACTAATCATATCATATCATATTTACTTAAAAATTAGAATATTATGGTGAGATTTGAGATTTAGCTCTCACGCATAGAAGAAGGATTTGGATGCAAATTAAGGCAGAGGAACGAAAGACATTGCCACTTTTCTTTTTCTTTTTTAACCCAAAACCCTTCTCACTATTCTCCTTTCGCTGCTTTCTGTCTTTCTTGTCTCCTTGTCTTTTTTTAGTCCTTTTTTTTTTTTTTACCTTTACTACTTTTTTCTCTTTTCCTCTTTTATCTTTCTTTCCTTTTCTTTTTTTGTCATCTCTCATTCATTTAATTCTTGAGAGCACCTGATTCTCTCTCAGTCTTTCAGCTGCTTCCCTCCTTCCTTTTGGTCAGAGATGTTTTTAATGATTTCAAAATGAGTAGTACGTACTATCCCATCCATCCAGCCAGCAGCAGAGACAGAGGAGAGAGAGCTTAGCTTCATAAAATTTCATTTCATTTGTTTTGGAGTAAAGATTGAAACTTTTTTCTCTTCAATGTGGTCTTCCCAAGGTAAACTCCAAATTGGGTTTCTTCTTGGGGCTTCTTGACTCTGTTATGCTTGATGAGCTCAGCTCTGCTGATATTCTGTCATAGCTTGTGCATTTTGCTGCTTCCTCATAATCCTTCTGACAAATACAAAATTGCCAATTTTAGAGGTCTAGTTAGTCAATTTGCTCAAAAGAAGCACAAGATTTTAGCAAGGAATAGGTAAACATGAGGGATGTGTGTGACTGTGTGAATCAGATGGACATATTGACTAGAGAATGTATAGACCAATACAAGACAGCATTCAAGTAGTGTTACTGCAACAAGACAACCCCCCCTTGAAAACAAAATGAGATCTTTGATCTTTCAATCACACTTTGGTGACCATCCCATTGATAAAAAGATGTAATTTCGTCGATTCAAACAAAGAAAAGAACTTCATTTTACTACTGAAACACTTTTCGTACACAAATAACTTAGGCATGTATTATCTTGAGAATTCATGAGCATTCCTCTAAGTATATATACTTGGTAAATATTCATGTTTGATCAAGTGGTGTTGGATCAAGTACGAGGTATTAAGTTTATGGGTAGCTGGTGGCTGACAATCAACTTTAGTTCTAGCAACATCAGCCTTGACTAAAGGTACTAAACTAAAGGGAGAACCAAAAGATAATAATGTTAAGAAATAAATAATAATTGGGGATGCTGTTTTCTTTCTTTAGATTAGAAAAATATTGTATATTATATCTCTTGACCATTAGATATTGCAAATGACCTGATCAACTTTTACAAAAGCAAGCCTCTTTTTCTTCTCCAATTCTTATTCCACTTTATACTGCAATAATCCAAGTGACACAAGACAACTCTAGCTACTTTCTATACTACTCTAAGATGCAATCCATGTAGCAAAAAAAGTAAAAATAATTATAAACAATAATAGTAATAATAATCTCAAACTGCCCACTGAAAAAATAACCTTATTGTAATTAGGGCTTAGCTTTATGGCAGGTTCCCTTGTTTCATTTTTTTTTTCCGATTCTCAATGCACCATCGATCAAATTGTTTTAACACAATTATTTACGTTTTTAACGTATTTCTTCGTTTTTAAAATGACTTTAGAACAGAAGACAGACCAAATATCCAGGAAAAAGGGGTTAAATTATGTAGATCAGATGACTAAAGAGTTGTTTATACCTCAGGAGATGGTATGTTCTCAAAAGAATCCATCATTTTGCCATGTAGCCAAGCTTCTCTGCTACAAAAAAACAATATATGGAGAGAATATTTCATATCAGTGGAAGCCATGCAGAAGACAAAAGGAAAATAAAGAAAAAAAACAAAAGCAAACTCAGGAAAAGAAATCTCTCTTTTTTTACAGGTCTAATTTATACCTTCTTCGCTTTATATTTTTTCTGATGGTAGATAAAAAGTTGAACCCACCCCCCATGTGATACCACATTATATATGCTTTGTGAAACAGACTTCAAGGAAGTTTAATTTCAAAGCTTTGGCACCAAGATTTCTTCATATGGGCCATTATTTGGATATCAAAAACTTGACACAAAGTTGGTCCCATTTAACTGTGAACCCACCAAATCCAGATGAAAGAGATATGCCCATTTTTAGGTTGATTAAAGATAAAAATGTTTTCAATTTCTTAATCAATCTTCCAATAACCACTCTAAAATGGAAGACATAATCAATGATGGAGTTTCTGTGTTGATTACAGTGTGTGTTGCGACAGACAGAATAAAGAGAAGTGCTTATTTCCTCTTCTTTTTGTAAGTATCTTCCAAGATTTTGTTCCAAATGTATGGAGAAAGAATAGCAGCACTACATGTGTACAAGAATGCAGTTTTCATCACAAACATATACCTTTGAGATAGATTTCTATAAGGAGAATATTGATAATATTAATAAGGTAAAGACATCTGAGTTCTCTTCAATTTAGAAATTTATTTTTCGTTCCAAATCAGGTGAAGTTGTTTAGATATTCAATGGTCAGGAATCAAAGTTTAATCACTGTCTACTTATGCTCAAATGGAGATGATCCCGAGTTCATCAGACATACTAAAATTGGTGTGATCCAAAATTAAGGGATACTAATTAAATTTAGGAACCAAAATGTTAGGCATATTATATTACCTTGAGGAGTTGCTCCAAAGGCCAGCACAATACTCTTTGTCTTGCTGCATATCTTGCCTGCCTTGTTGGACAGACATTTCAGGCTTCCTTGAGTTCTGAACTTCTACCATCAAATCCTCAGAATTCTCCCCAGACGACCCGTTTTCATAAACATCCGAATGTCCTAATACCAAAGAGAGGGAAGAAGAAATAAGAGAGAAGGAAATAAGCGACAAAAAATTCAAAAGAACACTTAGCACTACAAATCTCCAGCTGTGGAAACTATCTTACCTGAAGAAGCTGTTGCTCTATCTGTTGTCTTCACCGTTCTATACATCTGAAACACACGGCAAATGATGAGCATGTAAGTGACAATCTTGATCCAATTGAGAAATGAAAGATAATTTCATTGAAGAAAACCCAACTTTTGCCACAGAATCAACTTAGAAAAGTATCCAAAGCAAGTAAGTATATGTCCCATAATTAAATACAACTCAGCTAGACTGACTAATAATACATGGTACAATGTCACACGCATCATGTAGACATGCAGATATTAATATTACACATAAATGTGAATGTACATTTTGAAATCTTAACCATGGTTAATGAGAACAAACCCAAGGAGGAGAGATGGCTAGAGATATCATTGAGAAATGATAGCATTTTTGTACTTTCTCAAATTGCAACTGTCTTTCTGTAAGAAACTCAAAAAGTGAGAGAAGTCTCAAAACTAGTGTAGTGCAATAATGATACACTGTTTGCAAACCTGTCTTTGCTTGGGTCCGAGAACTGTTGTCAATTTACCTCGGGCTTTGTCTTACTTGATCTTTCTCTCTTTCTCATTCTCTCTCTCTCCTCCATTTTTTTTCTTTTTTTCTTGTTTCCTTATCTCTATGAGTCATTGATTATGAAATAATGGTCTTTTATTTCTTGGACATGGATGGATATTTGGACGGCTCATTCTTCCAAGCAAAAAGAAAAGAAAAAAAAGAACGCTATACTACTTAAGAGGGTTGCAGAAGTATCAGATCTAGTAGCAGTAAAGGATTTGTATTTTTTTTTTAGAGGCCTCTCGTGTTGGAAAAACACATTGGAATTTGGAATGTATGAAATTATGACCATTTTCAACTGTGTAAACTACAGTATAACGCAATTTCAACCTTCACAAAAGTGACACACAAACTCAAAAAAAAAAAAAACTTTCAGACAGCTTCAAAGATTGTTGTACCAAAAGGATTCAAAACACAGAACCAAATTAGCAGGAAAGAAAAAAAACACACACACACACAAAGACACAAACAGAAACAATGAAAGATTTAATATGACTGGTTAAAAACGAAGTGGTCCATTTTAGTATATTACCTGCAAGTGAGATTTAACATGAGCCAAGGTGAGATCTTTCACATCCATTAGCTCAAGAACTGACTTGGGTGTAGCTCCTATGAAAAACACCCTTTAGGAAAGAAAGTGAAAAAAACCCACAATATTTCACAAGTTTGAAGGAAAGAAGCACATACTTTCATGGCCGCCCAAGAGCTCAACAGCATGAACAAAACGGGCATGAAGGGTGGTTGTCCATCTCATCCTGGGAGCTCTCATGCTTCTTTTTGCAGTGTACCTCGACAAAAACCTCGACCTCATGAACCCAGTTTGATTATGATGATTAAAGTTGTTCGAACAAGCCTTAGTTATTGCAGAAGAAATAACACTGCTGTTGTTGTCTAAAGACTGTTGTTGTTGCTGATGATGATTTTGATGATGGTGAACAAAGGGATAAGAAGGAGTTGTTGGAGTACTATTATTACTAGTGTTTTGGTAAACTGGGATTCCTCTAATGGGTCTCAAGAACCCGAATTCCGGATGGGTTATTAGCCCAGAAGCTGTTTGATGGTGGAGATAAGGATACTGGTTTTGCTCAAAAGAAGGGATGATGAGATTAGTACTGTTATGGTGATTAATCTGATGATGTTGATGATGAAGATGAGGAAAAGAAGAAACCCTTTGATGATGGTTATTATTACTACCACTAATAGTATTGTTGTTAGATAAGGAAAGCTCAAACAAGTTATCGTGATGATGATGATGGGTTGCTTTTGAGGCCGCCATTGATGAAGAAGAAGAAGAAGAAAAGGTTGTGTTTCTTGAGTCCACCAAAGCTCTTTTCCAAAACCCCAAATCCATGTCGTCTTGTGTAGTAGTATTATTGCTCCTCCAAGAGGGTTTGCTATCTGGTGGGCTGATTTGTAGGGATAAGTCTGGTTGTGCTGGAAAAAGCTCCATCCTTTTCTTTCCCCTTGTTTTTTTGCACAACACACAAAAACACAACCTCAAAAAACCTTCCAAAAGCAGCTATCTTTAGCCCGGTTGATTATGATTCTGAAGTGGGGTGTTTTTGTTTCTGCTGAATTTGGAGCAGAGAAAACAGAGAGAATTCCGGGTGTGTTTTTGATATGTTTTTTATGTTTGAGGGGTAGATTTGGGAGAGTGAAAGGAATTAAGGGGGGTGAGGAAGGGAGAGGAGTAGTTGCAGAAGGGACTGAGAGAAAAGAGAGTACAGAAGAGATGGGGAGAGAGAGAGAGGAAGAAATGACAAGGTATGAAGTGAATGGTTGTTTCTTTTGTGTGAAGTATATGTGAGAAAATGACAGTTGAAGAGGGGGCTAATGGGAGGAGAAAGAATGAGAGAGAGAGAGAGAGAGAATGTGTTTTTGTTTTTGTGGACGTGGGGGTAGGGAAAGGAGGAGGGGAGACTAGTAGGGTAAGGGGGAAAAAAGGGATGAAAAAAACATGAGAAAGGAGGAAAAAAAAAAAAAGAAAAGAAGAGAAATTATAGTTTGATTTTTTTTATTAAAATATTTATCGGGAGAGATTCACAATACGAATAAGACTTATTCGATTCAGAGTGAAAATTAACTTCAGCGTGTTACATATATGTTCGTTTAAAATTTTAATATTTGATTATTTGTCTGTTCGAATGTATATATTTTTAGTTTAATAAAGAAGTATGTATCTGTTTCAAATTATCTCATGATTATTAATGTGATAGAAAAATTATTTTATCGGTCTCAAAATGATTTTCACACATTTTCATTCACTCATTTCTTTGTTCCTTGTTATGTAATGTTTGAGAGGGATAAAATGGAAATTTTATTGCAAGCTTTTAGGGTGAACAAGTTGTCAAACAATTCTCACTTTGCATTTCTAGCCAATACTCATCACTGAACTGAATCCCATACATTGTCCCTTTTTCTCAAACCTCATTCATCAATTTGTTTTGAAGATTGTGCTTGTGAACTTATATAACCAAGGCACACATTTTACATCCCATATCCTAATCTTTTTGTAATTATGTCCGAATTAAGAAACATTGTTACTGTTTTGTGCATTTGTTGTAACCACAATTTTAGGTTACAATAAATCGATACGATAATAAGAAAAGTCGTCGATGTTTTTTTTTTTTTGGCTCGTCTTAATCAAGAAAATTTCACTTTCACCTAATTTATAAACATTTTAGAGTATGCCACTCAACGAGGTATAAGTACAAGTATGGCATTAGATAATTACTCCTGGCGGACATATCCTTTGATCATCCCGCATAAATCTAATTTGACCTCATAATATGGCAAGATTTTTTCCCTTCTCACCATTGAAGGGCGCCACAAAAGGATTTCATACCTGTTCTTTTTCTCTCTATTTTTTTCTATAAATTATTAATTCCGTCTTCTCTGAAGAGTGGTGATTTTGTTTTTTCTAGGTACCATGAAGTAAGAGATTCATATTATGTGAAGCAGCCTAATCAATCATTTGGGTATTTGTTGTGGGTATATCTAATGTAAGACCGAGTGATCCATATAAGAATGATATTCATAATTAATATTATTGCGAAATCAGATCAAACCCTTACGATATTTGAAAATAGAAAAGAAATGCTTCCCACGGTAGTCTTGAATATTTTTCGCACTATGGCACATAAAATCTCGTATTTATAAAAAGATAAGTATTTTTTACTACTTCCGTCTCAAAAAAGGTCTACATTGAGTTTTCAAATTTGTACTAAAAACAGTACAAAACTCAAAACTCAATGTGGACAATTTGTATGGAACGGAGAGAGTATTTTTTTTTATTTTTTTGTCCCATCATGAGTAATAAGTATGTTTATCATTCACTATCTTATTACATTTTTTTTTTCTTTTTTGTACAGATGCTATGACCTATCATGAATCTTGCGTTGATTGGCCTCATTAACAATTCCTTCTCTTTAGTATGTTCCTCAACAGGGTAAAAATTTAAAGTCAAATTGAACATAGCTAAAAGGACAATCATTCGTTTAAATAAAAGGTGAAAGCAGTCCCAAGCCATGAACAATTTTTTCAAAGACAAATCTCTTTTTATGGACATAGGAAAAATGTCAAAAGAGTGGGGAAAAGTTTTAAATTAGCCTTTAAATCTCTGTTTTTTTTTTTTTTTGGTGGGGGCATCATAGGGAAGAAATTGAATGTTACTACTACCATTGATAGACATTGACCATGCAACTTTATTTATTTTAGTACTTTTCTTTATGCCTCAAATTTAGAGTCCAAACTCTACCCACGTACGTGTATATGATATGGTCCTTCCTCCTTTTTATCTTTGTGATGGTACCAACTTGTTGTGTCCACCTTCCTCCGGCCAACCTTAAAGGCCCAATATTTGCAACCCGGTTGATTGACAGCGCCCATATGGATTTCATACTGCATATAGTATTTCGGAATAATAACATTCTGTAAACGAGTAATCGCATAACCCTTTAAATTTTAATTATACACACAATGTTTCATTTACCATTTCAAAAACATATGTGTCATTTACTTGTGTACGCTTAACTGTTTATAACTTATCTATGTTTGTTATATCATGGAAAAGTCTATAATATTATTCACAACGTGGTTCAATCAATATTGGTCCAAAAATTACAAAAAATTTCATATCAACTATAGCTAGTTTTAGTTCGATCCTATTCAGTCATAACGCTATACCTAGTTTTTCTTTTATGTATGATACTTGCCTTTTTAACAATTTTAAAATGTTATGGTTCACCCTAAAAGGTCATGATCATGATCATCATGAAAGTATCTTAAATGGTCATAATAATCTTATATATGCTGCTAAATCTTAGTGGCGATTGAAAATAGAAACCAAGCCACCAATTAGATATTCCTTCCGTCTCTAAATGATTGTCTAGCCAAAATTTTTAATTTTAGGTTATATTGTATTAAATGTAAAAATGCAAAAAAGATAGTTGCTGTATAAATATCGACTATGTAATTTCATTTATACCATTCTTTATAAAATTTATCCGAAATTTTGTATTTTATTTATAAATGATCTCACAAATTTGTTGTTGCATCATACTGACAATTCATGGTTTTATTCCCACAGATAGAATATTAAACAATCTTAGACGGTAGATATGTTCAAAATTATGTATCGCATGTCGCATTCAAACGAATTAGTAGAGGCATATACTAAACTAAAAAATATATGGCTCAAACAGAAGGGATTAATCTAACATGCAAAATGTAGTATCTTGGCTAATTTGAATCCGAAAAAGGATGACATCGATGATCAATCCATAAGAACGTAAAATTATTGACGTGCACATTGAGACCAACAACCTAGATATGCCGACGTGATTATCAAAGAGCTCATCACCTTAATTTGAGCTAGTAGCTCATCCTTGAGTTTCACAAAGTCCATGTTCTTTTCTTTTCCTGCCATCCAAAAAGGGGGGAAAAAGTTCAACAAATTGTCCAATGCAATTCGATGACATTTATAATTTATTACTCCCTCCGTTTCAAAATGTAGGTCGTTTTAGGTTTGCAGAGGTTTTTCAAAATGTAGGTCGTTTTATAAATTCTAGGCAAATTAATGACTATTTTTTCAATTTTACCCTCAGTAAATGATGCTAATTTATTTTTATTTAGTTTTGTTTATAGTTTTAACGTAATTAATGAGAGGTAAAAAAGATATTTAACACATAAATTAATTGTTAGATGATTGTCTCTTTAGTTTATGTGTCAATTTTGAAATGGAGGAAGTATTACCGAATTAATTTAAATCGGTGATTAAATACCCCAGTCAAAGGGTAGTAATTCAACGGGAGAAGGTCCAGAATCCCACAAAAATGCACATTCTTGGAAGTTCAGAATTTTTTTCAATATAATCTTACTCTACCTTTCTCTAGATTTACATGTAATAATAATAATAATGGCCTGTAATAAGAAGTTCGAATTTTCAAGAGTTTCCCGACAACATTGGGAAACCATTTGTATGAACCAAGGTGGGGGGAAAAAAAAAAACAAAACCTATGTATTATAGTGCCTGCAGCATTAGGTTTTGATTAATTTTGTATCTGGTAATCATCAATTCAATTATTTATACTTATTTATAGGAGTTTGGGGACATGAAACAAAATGGAAGACTGACACAATATGTTGGTTTCTGTAGCCCAATTGACATCTTCTTCTTAATTGTTATAGGATATCTAGGGGGGGGAAATGATTATTTGAGGTTAGTTAATTGGCTCAATGTCAACCTTGCCTTGGTAATGCAACTTAGGCTGATTCACAATTGCAAGAGTGTGTTCCCGCGCCCCTTTTTTACCATATACTCCCTCCATTTTAAAACGTAAATCGTTTTGGTTTGGAAAGATTTTTCAAAATATAGGTCGTTTTACAAATTTTAGGCAAATTAATGACTATTTTTCTAAATTTACCCTCAATAAATGATACTAATATATTTTTATTTAGTCTTGTTTATAATTTCAATGTAATTAATGAGGGATAAAAAAGATATTTAACACATAAATTAGTTGTTGGATAATTGTCTATTTAGTGTACGTGTCAAGTCTAAAAAAACTTACATTTTGAAATAAAAGGAGTAATACGTATTAGGGTTGTGAGTACGTATCACATTCAGATACCAGTTCATATTAGACTTGATCATATTTCTTTTAGAGTGAAAAAACTTTCTAGTAAAACAGATTTCTTATTTTGATAATAGCAAGGTCAAATTCTTTATTTCACTTATTGTGTATGAATCATAAATGATTGTAAACCAACGTGTTAGTTAGTATGAATACAATAGATTTTAACTTGACATTCACAAACTCTGGTAAACTGAAAAAAAAAAAAAAATCTTTTCATTAACACGATACAATTAACACACAGATAAGTGAGACTCGATAATATATGCTAGCACAAGAAAATACAGTGTGCACACATTGGAAGCATCTAATGACTAATGATCATTAATTAATATTATCGATTAGCCAATGATTAAATTTCATAAACTAGCTATTCACATTGATTTGATTCTTAACATCAACTAGTCTCGGCTTCCCTAGAATGTGTGGGCTTGAGGAATCTTACATAAATACATGTAGTACTACAATGTAATAGAGTGGTTCCTATTGAGCTAAGATCATTAAGTAAGGATCTTTAAAATTGTGATGGATTGACCAAATCCCACTATCTAAATCAGAGGTGTATCTTTTGGTTCTTGTTCTATACTGTAATTAGAAGGTTGATTTCCATTTTTTTAGAAGAGTTCTAACCGACCCCAAGCATTAATTCTTTTCTGTTTTTTTTTTTTTTGGTTGCATTTTTGACCTATGCTTTACGGGGGAAATTAGTGACAAGTATATTTGGACAAAACTTGATCTTTTTCAACTAAATTCATTTTCTTATTAAGGCTTATAATTAACTATTACAAGT